AACCGTAATCGATTGCTCCTATCGTTCACACGTTTCAGTTTGTACCTTGTTACTATATAATTGTACAGGCCCGATGACGATTTACCAAACGCACGCGTATGCACGCCAGATGCTCTTCTGAATTGCTCCATGGGAATTTTGGTCACTTTGATCCAGGAACGTTGACGGCTTATCTGGGCCCATTCTTCCGTCTAAAGACAGGCTAATTCATGCCGCAGATCATATTTTTCTCTAGTCTATTGGTAACTCATTTTTTTAGAATTTTACAGACACCTAATTTTTAATCGTTTATGACGGACTAGACAACTGTAGGGTTTGACGTCACATGGACTCGTAAAGTTGCTATTAAACTGCAGGTTCTCTTCAACTCAGTTTCGCATTGCAACTTTCTTTACGAGTAAACTACCATAAAATACGGCTTACCGGAATACGACAAAACATTTGGCACAGGTCACCATGGGGATATTCTACCAGATGCAACTGTCATATGCATTATTCTGGGAGGCTAAGTAGCCTGTGAGGTAGGCAGAAGCAAGTCGAGTGTGCACTAACAAACCTTCTTGCGGCTCTTTACTCTCGTCCGAAATATTTCTACGTCCTTTATTTATGCATTCCTAATAGCTCTTACGAAAGGCGAATCCAGAACATCAGTTTTGCCCATAAACATTAGGCTGTTGGCTGAAGGTCTTCAAAATGATCAATTCTTATTTCTTCTACAGTAAGTATCCCTGACGAACCCTCACCTTCGTTTAACATCAAATAAAACCCGAAAACACTTGTCAAAGGCAGTCTGTTTTTGCAGCATGTCTTAAGAAAACTGATTAAAAAACCCGAAACTAGTTAAAGACAAGGAGTAAAATACACACTATAGGTTATTGGAAATTCTTCCACACCACTTTTTCTATCTGCGGTGTCTTACAGCCCATGTCATGTCTTTAGGTAATGCCACCTATGTGATTGAACTGATCATGCTGCTGGAATTAGGTTCGTATTGTGTACACTTTTGTATGTGATTTAATAATGATAGGTACCTTT